TGGAAGGGAGAACATTTTATTGTTTCATCAAAAAGTCAAGTTGGTCAACATCTTTTTTTATTCGCATTTTATTGTGTAACTCTTCTTATTATGTTGTTGGTCACCTAGCACAACAAAAGATGAAAAACTCCTCACAATGTGATTGACTGCAGCCAAGTGGTCCGACAGGCTCCACCAGCGCTCCTCAGAATTCTTTTATTTCTCTTTTTTTTTAGATGTGATCGTATAGTTTAACAACACTTACAACTGTTAACAAATTTTCAAAACTAAAACAAAACATTCTTATGCAATGAATCAATCAAAAATAACATCAACAGCAATAAACAGAAAAATAAAAGACAACAGCTACATCAATTAACAGTCAAAACACTCACAAATATTTTTATATGTAACAACAAATTCATTGTCTGAAGCCACCTAGCACAACAAAAGATGAAAAACTCCTCACAATGTGATTGACTGCAGCCAAGTGGTCCGACAGGCTCCACCAGCGCTCCTCAGAATTCTTTATTATTATTATTTTTTTTAGATTTGATCGTATAGTTTAAACAATAAATATAACAGTTAACAAATTTCCAAAAACAAAACAAAACATTCTTATTCAATGAATCAATCAAAAATAACTAACAGCAAAAACAGTAAAATAACAGACAACTGTTATGCCATTTGACAAGTAAAACATTCACAAAACATTTTATATATATATAAATAAATTTATACTTTGAACCCACCTAGTACAATACAGAATAAAAAACTCTTCACAATGTGGCTTTGACGGTAGGCAAGTGGTCCGACAGGCTGAAAAATAAAAGACACGGTTAGCGTCGTGACTGAGTGGTCAGCCACGAACACCAACCGGCGCAGCTCCTGCTTATAGGGTCACATGAGTGGTTGGGTGGTTTCCAGCCCAACCACGAGAAAAACTTTACAATTTATATTTGTAGATGCTAAATATTTTTACAGTACTTCGTTAATTGTTGAACTAGAAAAATATGACCCTAAGTAAAAAAAGAAGTGAAGAGCTGCCTCTCTCTCACCTACCTCCACCCAGCGCTCCTCAGAATTCTGGTTTGGGAAGCCGCGAGAGTGCCTGACGGACCCGTTGCATGCAGTCACTAATCACACCACTAGGTGGCTCCAAACAAACGCATTGATCAAAAATCTCATAAACACATACAACCCTACAATCATTTTGATCAAAACTCTCACAAACAGACACACACAAGCTTTTCTCTCTGTTACAGTTGCGTATAATAACTTGTTGAAGAACCGCCATTTCAGTTTTGATCTAAAACAATGTCTGTCTTGTGTTTCTGCCAGGAAAGTGGTGAAAAGTCAGGAAAAGCTCGGGAGTGCCATTCACGAGGTTGGTTAGTCTGGTTACATGATGCATCATGTCAAAACGACATCGAAAGAGATTAAAAAAAAATCATTAACTTTGATTATTGATAAAATATGCATTTTGCTGTTTCTTAAACAGTCTTGGATAAAAAGGTTAGTCTTTCTTTTTCTGTCATTCCTGGGTTTTGGATTGCAGCTACAGTTATACTGCATTTTGAAGACATACTTATGGAAGCTAAATTTAGCAACTACAACTAAGTAATAAAATATCTGGTCAGTATTTAAGTTTGTCATTTATGATGTAACCTTCAAAGACTGTCGTTGTTAAAGCACAGAAAATATAAAAAAAATATTTATACATCTCGTGAAACTTTACTTAGTTTTACTATCATATTTACTCTGAGTGGACATAGTATTAAGGTTTTGCAGCAGCTCAGTCAGAGTCCCTCACTTGAATCTGATAGTGAATCTGTGGAGGGAGCTAAAGATTAGTGTTATGTTACAGAGGCCTTCCAACTTTAGAGATTTAGCTTCTCATCAAGTCAGTAGAAACATACAAAAAGCTACTCGGCAATGATTAAAAAGGTTTGATTGCTTTAATCCCACAATAGATCTTTCCACTTATTATTGAGACAGTTATAAATAGTTTTTGACAAGTAAATAAAAACAAATATATTTTAAGAATAATTTTAAGTTGAAATCTGCCAGGGGTATGAGTAATTTATTTCTGCCCACTTTTTATGCTATCTAAAGATCAAAAGGATATATTTGATAGAGAAAATCAACAGGGAGATTTGACAGAATGTGTCACATCGACATGACAGAGCATGCATGTTGAACTTACTTTTAGATTTTAACTTTACCACTTGTCGTCAGAAGGTGGCAGTACTGAATAACCTGTCTTGTGTTTTGTGTCTCTGGGTGGCAGGTCTCTCACATCTCTGTGATGAAAACCTAGTTCTCTGGGACTGACGTCAGCCCACCACCCCGTGCCTCTTGGCCCACGATGAAACGCCCGGTTCCACCGTCAGCGCCGACCACAGAAAGCATGACTGTGTTTGTGTTTGTATATATGGACCATGAGCGGCTGGCCAGGCAGGGGGACAAACCACCGGGGTCTCTGTACAGCTCCACAATCATCTGTGATTAGGACATCAGAGGTTGTCGGTGGGCTGGGCTGCTAATGAAGTATGACGGGACCGGCTGGTGTAAACAAACAGCGGCAACTGAAGAATACCGCCACTGCTCTCGCTCATTCACTCACTGGTGCGCCCGCCGGCCCGGAACAAAGAGTCCTCTCATGAGGGTCCACACAGAGGCATGGGAGGCATGGGGGGCAAGGATAGCGGTGATGGTCTACGGTAGCAGAACCAACCAAACCGCACAACACCAACCCAAACCAAGCCATACCAACCTAGAATTTTTCCAGACATTCCTTCCCCGGCAAACATTGTTGCATTGTTTGTGTCAAGAGGCAAACACTGCTTTGACTATCATTTTACATCAAAACGACTAAACCTTTGAGCCAAACCCAGAGAAGTCTACCTAGTTCCCTTCCTCACCCTTCACCTCCTTTTTAGTCCCTTATACTCGGTCCACAGCTCTTGCTGGACCTGATCACAGCCACTGTTTGAAGTTGCCGCAAGAACAGAGGACAAGCAAAGGGGATGAGACGAGAAACACGGCACATCAGAGGATGCCGGTTCAAACAACGAGGCTGCCAGTTCTCGTTTTCTTGTATTGAGGCTGTGCATGTGCGGTGGTGTGTGTCCATCTGCTCGTACCCGTCCATATCTGTGAGCTGAAGTCACCAGACTTCTGATCGCTGCAGCCAGAGGGACTGCACACTTTTACATAAACAGGATCTCATTGACCACTGGTACTTTGTTGTATATTTATACCATTAGTTATTTATCATATTTGGAAATATTTATTATAAATTTAATAAAATGTTAAACTAAACAAAAATTAGTTGTTTTAATGAAATTTTGACATGTTGGTTTCTCTTTGCGTTGTATTTTTTTCCAGTGAGAATTTGTTTCTAAAAGTTTTGAGACAGTTTTTTTTTTTTCCTGTCAGACTTTATTGCTTTAACTTTGACTTCTCTTTCTCGTACCTCTATGCTATATTGAAGGTTAGTAATAAATGTGCCTTGTTTTAAATTTTTTTATGAAGAAATACATCAGGTTTATGTTTTAGTCATTGTTTTAGACCACTGAATTGGGCCACGTTTTCCCTGTGACACAGCGCTCCTTCAGGCTGTAGGAAACCTTGTTCATCAAAATGCTACTGGATCTGGATTGCTACTTGTAAAGAAAGTTTTGGTATAATTTTTAGTAATTTATTTAGATGAGAACACATTTAACATTTTGGCTAGCACAGCTTATTGGGAAATTAAGGTCCCAGAGTCTAGAAGAAGAGTACAAAGGCACTAACTTAAAGTTGCTTGAATTTAGTGCCTTTATATATTTAGTGCCAGTATAAACGTTTCCAAAGTAAGCCGTAATTTTGGGATCGTGGAGATGCTGGTTTAGTTCTTAGAAGGACTTGGTACCATGCCCCCATTTCACACAACTCATACCAAAAAAATGCCCCAAGTACTGCGTGTACATAGTGTAAAATGTGGCAGACATGCATATTATTATGTTGGCATTTGTGCTTGAAAAACGTTTCAATCAGTGTCACAAAATAACTTATTTTTCTGAAAAAAGGAAATTTGGGTTTTCCAAATTTAATAAAATTATTTAAAAAAACTGAGTTATATCAATAGATATAACTCAGTTTTTGTTAATGAAGCAAAATATATCGCACTCATTTTTTTTTTTTTTTGTTAATTTAAGGAATGTTATTAAAGAAAATAAACTATTTAACCATATTCTTCTTTATCGTGGTGCGCGCCATTGACTCATAATCTCGTTTTTTCACGTCAAAAAACGAGATTCTCGGCGTCAAAACTTCTGGTGCTCTGCGCCTGCGCGCCTCACTCTTGACCTCTCCAGCTCGCTGCAACTGCCAACAAGCCGCATGCGCGTCCATGAGCAAGGACCGCGCGTCACAGTTCCTGCGGAACTCGGGAGGCTGTTGTCGGACTCCGAAAGCTAGACTTCTATCTAGAAAATAATGAACAACAAATTTGATGCGTGAGTACAGGTTTTGATTAATTATGTGCGTTACAGCGGCGTGCTGGTCGCTTTTAGACACTAACCGAGGGTTGAAAAGTTACTATGGGCGACGTTGTATTAAATGAGAGGTGTGTCAGCTTTATGGCGTGGTAGTATATTCTTTGAATGTTTTTTTTTAAGTCATCTGAGAGTGAGGTTCTCTAATATGAAAGTATATATTGCCGAATAAAGCAATAATGTAAAGTAGAAGGTTTACTCAAGGTTGGTCAGTAGTTAGCTTAGCTTAGCATGCCGTAAGCCAATTAGGCCCTCGATCCTCGGTGTTGTAGTAGTTGAGAAGTGAAAGACGGCGTGCGAACCCGGGGAGAAAAGTAGAATCAGAGATCCCTAATATACAGACAGATGTACTAGCTCTCCGTTTGACAGAAAGTGAGTTGCATTTAATGCACCACATTCATAGAGGAGGATATGCGCTTCTGTTTTTCAATTAAACATGATCTGTTTTAAGATTACGGGGGAAATAAGTTTATCAGAACCGGCTAGCTAAAGTAACCTGCAGCGGATCTTCACGCCACGAGGTCATCATAATTGACATTTATGTTTTGGGGTTTGTGTTGCATGTTCAGCCGTCCGTCTATTACAGTTGTGAATAAAAACAAGAATGGACTTTGTCCTAACTAAAGCACCACTAATAATTAAAGCCTCAATTATAATCATAGACTTTATTAAAATCTGTTTGCCTTTGGTATCAATTTAGAGTCAACTCCTGGATTTATTTTGGTCCTTATGTTTCCATCTAATCCAGGTTGAAAGACGATGACAGTGGAGATCACGAGCAGGATCAAGGGTCACCGAAAGACAGTGAAAAGGAAAAACTTGAAGAAGACAAGGAGCAAAACATTATAAAGAAAAAAGTAAGGCAGTACAACAACCTCTTGTCACCCCTGCAGAAATGTAGGAAAACCACAGAGTCTGATGGCAATGCCTAGTCTTCTTTGAGGATTGACTTCAGGATTAAGATTTTTTTATTTTTTTTCCTTCTTGAAGAAAACAATGTGCTTTGGGTTCTTTAATCAAACTGGTTTTGGAAATTAATACAAATGAAATATGACCATTTGCATTAAAAACTGTATAAAGTAAAAACTGCTGTTTTAGTTTAATGACATTAAAGCTGAGAGTTCTTGATTTTGATTAAAGTAATAAATGTAGGTAATTTTCATTATTTTACCTGCTGATAAAGGCCATTCCAAGTAAAGTCTTTTTTTTTTTTTTATCCCTTCCTCACAGTGATGTAATAACAGTTATAACTACACTGGTTTCTTGTTGTGGTAGATGGTGGTGCCAGGACCAGGAGAGCATCCCCTTCAGTACAACTACACGTTCTGGTACTCGAGGCGTACTCCAGGGAGACCGGCCAGCACTCAGAGCTACGAACAGAACATCAAGCAGATCGGCAGCTTTGCCTCGGTCGGTTACTTATCAACTCATCTGCATATACGGTCTCCACATGCTGCATTTGTTGCCCCTTTTCATCTTTTTATTTACGTAAAATCCTTTGCTATTCTCAAGGTGGAGCAGTTTTGGCGCTTTTACAGCCACATGATCCGGCCTGGTGATCTCACAGGTCATAGTGACTTCCACCTGTTTAAGGAAGGCATAAAGCCCATGTGGGAGGTGAGGATTTTGAGATCCTAAATGATGATCTCAAACCTTTCTGCTTGGTCCATTTGGAGCATGATTTTCAACCTTGCCTTGGGCTCATTCCTCGTCTTTAGGATGATGCCAATAAAATGGGTGGGAAGTGGATCATTCGCCTAAGGAAAGGCCTGGCGTCTCGATGCTGGGAGAACCTGATCCTGGCCATGCTTGGGGAGCAGTTCATGGTCGGAGAGGAGATCTGTGGCGCTGTCGTGTCAGTACGCTTCCAGGTGAATCCAGCGACACACAAAGCACACACCCGCTGCATCGCTTGATCTCAGCACTCAGACCCGTTTTGTTTTGAATCAGGAGGACATTATATCCATCTGGAACAAAACGGCAAGCGACCAAGCGACGACGGCCCGCATCAGAGACACGCTGCGCCGAGTCCTCAACCTGCCTCCCAACACCATCATGGAGTACAAGACACATACAGACAGCATTAAGTATGTATGTCTCCTCGTTTTATTATTTTTTCCTTCAACCTTTCTGTTTCCTAATCATTTTAATAATTTTTGCATGCTTTTTAGTAGCGAACCATATGAATTTAAAATTCTGCAACTTGTCACCTTTAATTTATGTATTATAACTTGCATAATATACTCTTATAACAACCACAAACTTCAATGTGTTTTTATTGGACTTTTAAATGATCACTCCTCAAATAAAGCACCTTTACTTAATTTTTTTACATAAATTTGCCTGTGTGTAATTTAATCTGAGGCTAGAAAACATTATTGATCTAGCATCATCTTCAAGACCGAGGAGCACAGCAGGGTTAGGTTTGAAAGCAATTTCCCAAGCTTTCAACATCTCACTGTTCAATCAAATCATTTGAAAATAGAGTATGGCACAACTTAACTTTCTAATCATAGACGCAGCCTAGAGGTCCATGGTAACTTGGAGGAGCTGCAGAGATCTCCAGCTCAGGTACGGAAATGTGTGGATTGGTCAGCTGGAAAACCCAACAGGGTGCTCAGATCAAATTAGACCCTTTATTTATTTATTTTTTTGTTCTTTCTTTCTTTCCTTCCTGCAAAATGCTGCTTGGTGGAAGGTTAACACTTGCACATCACCACTGTGAAAAATGGGAGTGGGAGCTGTGCGGGTGTTTTACCTTCAGCGCAAACGGGGCAGCTGGTTAGAGTTGGCGCTAGATACGGAGCAATACTAGAAAGAAAGTTTGTTAGAGGCAAAGTTGTTAGTCTGATGTAAGAAGCTGGTAGTGACGCATCCCAAAACACAGCAACGTTCACTCAGCAGGCAAAACGACCCATGTCCGACTTTTTCATGGATGTCAGAACAACGCAGAAAATCCAGTTTGTGCCACGTCCATATGTGGTGCTAAATCGGATACATAGTTTTCAACAATGTCTGCAGTGTGAACGGTCAAGCAGCATTTTATCAGACTTTTACGTCATTGATCATAGAAGTAAAAATCTATGATCAATGCAAGACGAGCATCATACTCATTCACCAGAAGAAGCTAGACGCTGTAAATTACAATTATAAAATTATGAAGTAGTCAGACTATGGATCCAGATAGACTTCTCTCCAGAAGTTACAGTCAATGCCACACAAACAGCTTTAGCGATTTGGTGGCTTTCTTTTTACTTGGCGCGGGACACTTTGGGTTTGTAAACTGTCCACACAGAAGTCTGACTGCAACCACATCATTCAGTAATCTAAACAATCGCAAAAACAAAACAAATGGATTTGAGCATTAAGACCTAACGTCAGAACGTAACCGATTTGGTGTAATATATTCAGACACTTACTCATGCATACCTTTGCAATACCGCGAAATTAAAATTTGATTCACATTTGTAATTAAAATTTAAAACCTCAGCATTATTTTCATTCTATTTCACAGTTACACACTAGTATGTTTTAGTCTGCCACATAAATCCTGATGAAATGCATTGAGGTTTGTGGATTTTCTGAGATAAGTTATTTTAGCTAAGTTGGAGAAAAAAGGCTTAAGTTTTGCACAATAAATAAATAACGTATCATTTAACAAGATTCACATTTTGTAGTGAGATCAGATTGTAAAACTATCTTCAAAAAAGCCGTGGGACGAAGAAGCAGTTAAACGTCTGCAGCATATGGGAGGAAACTGGCTGTAATGGATGCTCCACACTCTGTCGCCATGTTGCTAATCGGGTTCTGTATCCTGAACCCACTCGTCTTTTCTGCTCTTCTTGCCAGATTTCCAGCTTGCTTATCTGTCTTATGCAGAACATTCATTTTTATTTCATTTCTCCTTACAATAATGACGGAAGCAGATTTTTTTCCCCCTGAAACTGCCTCCTAATCTCACCTGCTTGAGGATGAGAACCATAAAGACTTCTTCTTAATCATGATGCTTTCATTCAGTTTCAGTCAAATTCAGCTTAAACACCTGAAGCAGACTATAGTTTTTCCCTCAGTAGTCTTTATTATGTGTGCTGTATTTTTCTTGTGGATTTCTGCCTCTTGTTTCTAGATTTTGAGTTTCCTTTGACTTACGACCTCTTAGAAAACATCTGGCTTGTAGAAACCTGGATGCTTTATGGGAAATGTTTGCTAGCTTCACCTCGCTTAGATATTTACACCCAGAGAGTAATTAGAGAAAATGTTTGTTTTAAAATCCTCAAGTGATCCCGGCTTTTATGGGAGACGGTTTCCCCAAAGAAAGCAAATCATAAATATGTCGACAAAGAAGTGGAAATCTGGGTTGTTTTTACTGCTGTTTGAGTGACCTTAAAGTAAACCTTTATATTTTACTGTGAATGATGAAGCACTGGATGCTCCTCCCTTCGCAGAGCCTGGGAAGACTTCCATGGTCTGGTGAATGCTAGTGGCGGACGTTAGCCCCTCACACGGAGATACTCTGGGAAGAGTAAGAGCTGCTTCTGGTTTAGCTAATGAGAACTAAACGGGATTCCCTTCCCGGTGCGTTTTAACATCCTCCTGCCGTTGTCCGTCTGGTTCGTGCAGGTTTGTGTGTTTACGTGGCGTGTTGAGGGGTGGACGAGTCCAGGGCTGGATACCTCTGCGTGGATCGGCACTGTGCAACATGAGGACAGAGGAAATATCCACAGGAACAGAGGGCCTGAAGACCATTCCCTATTTTTGTCCAGTTTTGATGCTTGAAAGGAAAGACACGCCAGCGATCGGCAAAGCGAAGAGAAATAATCAGTCAACCGGAGAAGAACGAAGCCTTCATTATTCTTGTTTACGAGTTTTAACATGTTAACTTGCCAGCAGAGGGAGGCTGTGTGACTGGTGTCTGCTCATCCGTCTGTTTGCTGCCAAAGTGTGCTGGACAAAATACAACGAAACTTGTTTGATGTAGAAATGAATGTCATGTATTGTTGAGCAGAAGCTGTTGACACGAGTCTGCTGAGGAGTTTTAGTGGGACTCAAACAGGCCAACAGGTGGACAAAGTTTTATTACAGCGATGTATTTTAAATGCCATTCCTGTCATTCTGAACACAATCGCATCATTTTCATGTACGATATACTCGTGTATACTTTATGAATCTGTCATTTCACTCTCTCCGACATGGACCTTTTACTCTGAACAGAGACGGGCCGTCCCGCGGTGAGCAGAACGTCGCATCGGAGCTTTCTTTAAGGTTCACTACTAGCTGCCTCAATCACAGTGCCTGGCCTCGAGCCTCGAGCTGTCCCATCAGTTGAAGGTATACGACGTCTTCAACTGGTTCATAGAAAGGACTTTACTTAAACGTCCACAGTGAAAGCCTCCCGAGTCCAGTATTTATCACCTTTTACAGTTTATCAGCAAATTACATGAAACTTTACCCAGGATCAGGGTTTGTTATAGATTTCATCCTGGGCAATTATTCTTCTTTTTTTTTTTTCTTTTTAAGGTCTGAAGTTTGTAAGTCTAATTCTGCCCAATATGTTGTGGCAAATGATGGAAGAGTAACATTGTTGGAGATGTGCACCTGATGGATTCTAGCAATAAAAGTTAAATATGCATCTGCTGCTAAGGGTGGCTCAGTTTTGTTTTTCTGCGTTGTAGACGAAGAATCCAATGTTTTCGTTTCTTCCTGCCTTTGTTCATCTTCTTTGCCATCGGAGGAGCTTGGCTTTCTTTTTCCTAGTTTTTGGTTTTCAACTCATCTCAAAGAACATGTGGTTCTGAAAAGACAGCAACAGTTTAGAGAACGTACTTGCTATTATTCCTGCTGTTGCAAAATATATTACAGAAATGTCAACATTTGTTTTAATACATAGTTGAACAAAAATCTAGAGTAAACTGGTAAATTGATCATCGGTTTTAAAAAGAAGTTTTCAAAACCCTCAGTAACCAAGACATGCCCTGGATTTGATCAAATCTACCATCTTGAGTTTCACGATCTTAGCTGGCACATGATCACAAGTATTGCATACTTATAGAAAAATATGACAGGATGATCTCTGAAGCTATGAAGAGAAGTTATGGAGTCCAAGCAGCTACACTAAGTTTCATACTTGCCAGTAAGAAAGTAGCTGCCAGAAGCAGGAGTTTAGTATGTGGCTCCAAGCTCTGCGGCACTGCAGAAAAAGAACAAACCCACCAAAGTTAGGAAACTGATTTTGATTCAGAAAAAAATAAATATCTACCTCAAAGAATCTCATTCACCAAACGGGTGAGAAATGTCTGGGAAGAGACTGATAACTCACAGCTTCTGTCTTTGGAGCTATAATGGCCTTTTTTGTAGTTTTTTTTTTTTTTTTTCTATTTAGACATGCAACCACCACTAACTTTATTTTGCTGGGATTTTATGTGATACACCAACAAAGGGTGGTGCAGAACGAGAGCTTCTTAACGATTATCTATGTGAATGAAACCAGCATCAGAGAGGTAACAAACACGAAGCAGATTTCCTAATTACTTGAGACAAAGTTCCATTTATGTGGGAAAACCGACACTGCAGATTGCCTTGAACGCACCATCCCCATTTTGAAAATCAGGTCTCATTTTGCTCCCACTTCAACGTTATGCACCACCTCATATATGGTTCACTTCAATAAAACTTTAAATGCTTTGGCAAAGCACTGCATTGTGCCAGCACAATATACCGTCCTACACTGGAACAGATCATGAGAAAAAGAAAAGATCTCTCACTGTTTCACAGTTGTCATTTTTGTAACAAATGGTGAAGGGTTAGAACTCACCCTCCAAGCCAAAATATTCATGATCCGTGTTACGTTCATTGCTGAAGCCGGGCCACTTCTTCCATATTGTACCCATTTGCTCTCCAATGTTGGAAACAATCTGTGAATCATTTTAAAATCATTATTAAAATAGCGCTGTGTTGGTGGTGAGGGGATTTGGAGTGACTTGCAAAAGTACTCATGCCTGTGGAGCCTCCTTGTGCCACCAATTTAATAATTTTATGCAATAGACAACAGAGCTAATGGGGAGATGAATGGAGCTAAATACAGGGCAATTCTAAAAGAAAACCTGCTGGACGCTGCCAGGGATTTTCAAATGATGCGACAAAAATGTGAAAAAGTCCAACAGGCATGAATGCTTTTGCAAGACATCGTAAATAAATAAGATCACCTGAAACTGTTGGTTGGCGAAGCAGCGGAAGGGGCAGCAGGGGCCCTGAATTTGGATCCTGGAGGCTCCTTGCGGGTCGCAGACCTCCAGGAGAGGGGTGAACATGCTCCACCTGACCACACAACCAGGCAAACACGCAGCAATAAGCAACCTGGCAGAAACACGGCACAGTGCTTCACACGGTGGCACGGCCTGCCCTGATGCTTGGGTAACCACATTTTCAGCTGTCGTGACTCTGCAGCACAAAAACCATTGTCTGCTCAGTGTCGGAAGGGCTCAAACTGGGGCACGATTTATTCTCGCACGACTGAGAGAATATTTATATCAAGTCAGTCTCTGGTCACTGGAACCTCTGAGGGGTCAGTCCCAATTAGACTCAACGTTGAAGAGTGCGGATTCACGTAAAGACACTCCAGAAAGCCTCGGGGTTAGATTGAGGCCATAGGAAGAAAGGAAGTATTTTTGGGGTGACTCTTCCCATCACTGAGCATCTCTGTCGGTGTATTTCCATGCAGGCAGCTGCTTGGTGAACTCTTCCAGGTTTAGACTGCAGCTGCAACTGCGTGGAACATTAAAGACTCGCATTGCTATTTACAGAAAGGCCTGAGAATCTAAAGTGGCTCAGTCTGGACAGAGGATGGAGTGACATGGAAAAATGTCCATGTGATTAGCTGTTCAGTCGCTCAATCTGATACAATATGGTATTATTTATACTTAACAAATCCAATTTAAAAAAAAAAGGTCCTGATTAACAACATTTAGATTAACAAATGGCCCTTTTAATATTTTATTTGGTCTCAGATCTCAGCTGCTGTCCAATCAGACTGAACTTGGTCCAAGTTGTCTATGTACCATGAATTATTTTTGGATAGCTACCAGTTTGGTATCTATTTGCATTTTCATTTAAACTTTAAACTTCAGAATATGTTCCAGGTGGTGCTGTCCAGTACATTGTATTGTGCTCTGTAGATTTGGTACTCTTGCCTGTTTGCAGCTTATTCTTTCTCATTTGTTGCATGTACAAAAAGTGGCTCAACAATGACACAAAGATTTACCTAGATATTATTATTATTATAACACATCAGTTTTAAAGTTGGTATTATTGATGACACAGAAAATTTTAAAATCAGACTGCTACTGAATATGTTGTTTGGTTTATTTTCCAAAATAATTTAGACTTAGACCTACTCTCCCCTACCTGTAGATCTTGTTATTATGTACTTCAGCCTCATAATTTCAAAAGATACTTACTGTAATCATATTACTCATACAACCAACACCTAAAAATCTAAAAATATATTTTTTGTGTTTTTGTGTGTGCTCCGGTGGCCAAGCAACGACATTTCTTTTCCAATTTTGCTTATGTTTCTTTGTACAATGACGATAAAAATAAGTCTGAGTCTAATACAAATACAAATACAAGAACAGCAGCAACCACAATGCAAAACATGCATGAAAGTGTTGAAAAACCTAAAATAGGCCTGCATATCACCAACATTTCAACAGTTCTGTCAAATTAAAGCGACAGAGAAAACTTAACGGCGAAAAGTTGTAACATAAAATATACAACAAAGTTCAGGTTCCTGTAAAGGCAAATGCTATAGATCAGTGTTTATCCCGACTGACCTCTGACATACGGTGCCAATGAGATGCTTCGTAGATGAATAAGCCCTCATCTCCATCAGGCAGCAGCCCAAGCAGCAGGCGTCCACCCTGAGGGGCCTTTCAAAGTAAAAGACCTGCTGCCCCTGATAGTCGAACCCCTGCAGGGAGCAGGCCCGAGCCGGGCCACAGAAATGGAGGCACATACAAGAGCTCTCTGACAGGAAAGGGGCAGAACCAGGAATAAGGGGAATACATTAAAATGCACGACCTTTGACTCTACAGTCAATATTTTTCGTTGTGATCGTAGTTGAAACAAGCGAGTACCCTCCACAGCCACAAACATCTGTGACTTGCTGCTTCCGGTGGTGATGCTGTAAATCTTTCTGGAAACACACTGTGGACCTGCAGCGAAAGAGCAAGAGTCACACTTCAACACAACAAAACAAGCAGATACACAAAAGCATAGCAAGGGTTTTATGTGAAACTATAAATCCACTCCATGATTGACTTTGATGTTTTGATGATAATGTGTACTTCTGTATGAAACAAGTTGTATTTTTAAAAAAAAACAGGGACCTGATAAAGTGTTAAAATTGTTATTTTTAACACTTTATCCACACTCACCCCGTAGGTCGGGTCTCGCAGTGACATGTATCCGCCTGACTGTATCTAACGCCGACAAAAACTGCAGTCCTGCTTCATCGTCAAGGTCCTGCTCCACCTCCTCGGGTGTCTTCGGCGCTGGTGGCTGCATGCACACGTCCTGTATCCCACCCCCATGAGGCCTGAGATTGGAACTGTGTTTTTCAGATTCCAAGTCAGGAGCCACTTGGTGGGACTTGGCATCTTCCTCTTGAGTCTGGCACTCGCAGGACGGCCTGCATCGGTTCTTGAAAGCCCTGAAGACGCCCTGGATGTGCTTCTCTCGCTCAAGTGGACCAAAAGGAGGAGGCTGACTGGTCACTGCTGACATGATGTGCACCTGAACATTTGGTACACAGCCAGTGTTTAATGTCTGCTTATCTCACATATGTAGGAAATGTGTCCAAAAGTATTTCCATTGTGTAGAAGAGCAACAGTTTTTGAAAATGTTTTTATGTGAAACTCAGTCAGATAAGACGGAGATTTTGGTTTGGACTTTGACTGGGTCATTTTAATGAAATAATTAACTTTAATTTAAACTATTCTATTGCAAATGTGGTTGTATATTTAAAATAGCTGGAAAGTAAACCCAATAACCACAGTCTCAAGACTTTTGCAGCCTCTAATAGTTTTTTTCTTTCAGGGTTATTACGTCCATTTATCTTCTCATCACCAGCTTCCTTGGCCCTTCAGAAGAGTAGCCTTCCCACAGCATCATGCTGCCGCCACCATGTTTGTTTGGAGATGATGTGTTCAGGGTGATGTGCAGTGTTAGTTTTCCACTCCACATACGTTCAAATCTGTTGTTTGCAACAGAAAACGTGAGTTTGAATGCAAAGTTCTCCAAACATTGGACTTTTTAAATTCCTATCCTCTTGTAAAAATGCAAAGACAACAAATGGTTTCTTATAGAAGGCCTTGCCTTATTCAGTATGTCTACAAGTTGCATAAGATTTAGACACTCTCTTTTCTGACTCAGTGTTTCTCACTAGTCTGCTCCCTGGTAGCAATATAAACATCAGTCTTGCCACAGAAGCCAGGCTGTGGCTCTTTTCGTATTCACATCACACACTAGCACTGTTGTCTTACTCTTCGGCCCGTGGGAATACCAAACTAAACTCCTGCTTAACGGTACACTCAACATGTAACGTGACCCCCAACAAGGTCACAAGGCTAAACATTGTAGTTCTCTTCTAGTTCTATATTTCTGGTCAAGAGCAACAATAAGAAAAGCATCTCATTCGTTCTTACCGATAGCGGTCACCCTTCATGCATCTGGTCAGCTAACTATGAGCTGGAAGCAACCAGGCAAACTTTAAATTTCAGGAGGAGTTCACCGTCAACCTCATCACCATCTGTGCGTGTGTGTCTATTCATGTAGCCAATGCCTTGCTTTGTGTGTGTGTGTGTGTGTGTGTGGATCTCCGGACGTCTCACGCCAACTAAGTCTCCCTGCCGGCTTTCGTTTCCATCTCAACCAGCCGGATTCACCTTTTGTTGCTCCAGAAAAGCGCCACTCAGCCATGAAATTGAAGTCCGGCTCCCAGAGGTGGGTGGACGGTGCGGTGAGATTGTGTTTCAGGGGGAGGGCGGAGATGTTTCTGCTCTCTTGACCTCGAAGATGATGTTGGACGTTGGATCATAGTTGTGCTGAACATTATAAAAGAAAACTATCAAATGCGCAAAGTAGCAGCAATCTGAAAGCCATGCAGTTGTTTTGGAATGAAGCAGATATTTGCTGCATTTAAAATAGATGTTTGAACCTCAAGATGCTCTTTCCTATAATCCTGACACTGTCAATGTGAAGAAGTAGTGTTTTAGACATACTGTGCTACGAAAAAAAAAAAGTTTGTCCCTTACAGATGTCTTTTAAATTAGCTTTTTTTTTTTGTCATAGATTTTTGAATCTAAGAAACATACCACAGGTAAATAAGAAATGCATCAATCACAACAAGTTTATGTCTTGAAGTGCAAAGCTGTACCAGACAGTAACATTACAACCTTATTATGTTTTACTGGTATGATGTTATTTTTCTGTAAAGGGTTGCACAACTATAAGTTAAAATACTTATAATAGCAATCGCTGTTAAAAAAAAATCAGCATAAAAACAACAACATTCAGCAGTTTAATGTGCAGCCATGAATTTTATCTTGTTTCAACAACCAGTATAAATAAAAAGTGAAAACATTTAAAATAGCATACAGCAATAAGTCATATGATGCGAAAGATCATAGCAGAATTGTTTGATATGTTTAAATGTGTAACATTTGAAGTCATATCTGCCACACAACCTAATTAATGTCTGCTTTGCTCAGAAAACTCCAGTTCAGCTTCCAATGAATGGAGGTGTTTCTTTGTTGGATCCAGAATGGCGTTTCCAATCAATGTTTTGGGCGAATTAGTTTGGAGGTAGAAACCCTGTGTTTATGTGATTATGTTCAGCCCTCCTGACCATCACCAATCAACAGTTTGCATGAGAAATGTATTGTAGAGGGAAAATTTGTTAAAAGTGACGTCTTAGGCTTGTTTTTTAAAATTAAAAATATGCTTTAATTTTGGTTGCAACAATAAAATGATTAAAATTAGAATAAGAAACTGATATTTCATCTGCATTTATGTTTGATAAACAATAAATAAATAAAAAGGGCCATAGAGTGGTCGCCAGAACAGGTGGTGAGTGGAGTCTAATTACTCCACACACACTCTGTGATGACTGACTGGGGTGCATTGAGGTTACTGTGTGTGTTAGGGCTTCTGTGCAAGTTACAGAAATACTCAACATGATAACATATGAATCCCAAGTCAACAAGGCTACAAGTAAAGGCAGCTGTGACACGCACAAGAGGTCCTATACATATCTTGAAGCAGCATATGGCAAAGATGCAGGACATCAGCTGGTGTTGTTATGATTCTTAATATACATACAGCGCACTGATAATGTGTTTTTCTGCTTACAGATTACTTCTAGAAATATAAAGGCACTGTACATGTATATGCAAGCTGAGCCAGGACTGTGTGTCTGCAGGTTAACTAGCCAGGAGATGCAGAGGAGCCTCATGCAGCCCTGGAGCCGGACAGTGTGAGGTTCAACTGCTTGCATTGCAGTCCTGCAAGGCCGCTGAAGCAGAAAGACTTCTGGTGATTGTCATGAAAAAAAACAAACTTTATTTATGTATTTGAATGTATTTTTATTTGTTTATTGCATATGAACAATTAACAAGAACAGTGAAAGTCATCACCTTACTTTCTCACAACCAGAAAATAATGAAATGCATATCAGGTTACGGGTTCTGCATTGTGCTCTGCAGCCTACACAGCCTACAGCAGAGGTTCCCAAACTGTGGGGCGCGCCCCCTAGGGGGTCGCCGTGTCATTGCAGGGGGGGCGCGGGAAGCCGTCTGGATGAAAAAAACCCAAAACATGAACTGTATGCGCTGGGTTTTTACCTTAGAATGGCAAACTCTCTGTTATTCCTATGTCAATGTGATACAGTAGAGGCTTCCACACTTCCCATATTTGTGTCCTCTGTCACTTTTATCAGCAGTTAAAACTGTTTAATCTGTTGTTAACATGTTGTAACCTGTTTTTCCTAGCCGCCTTTAAACGCAACATGAGCGCTACGACGCTCGCGCTGGGTTTACACCAGTGAAGGAGACTTGCTGCTGCTGTGCGGAGCTACGTAGGTTTGTGTTGGAATCACGGCAGCAAACCAGCAAAACGCAAAGAACTTTTCACAGTTTTTCCCTCCAAACTAACCGACTGAGTTGAGTGAAGCTGCTGGATGCAGGTAATGTTAGCTAAAAGATGACTAGCTAATATCAATACAGAACCTTAAGCTTAACAAGTACCTTGTAGGCTACCGATGTTGGTGTCTATTTTCAGCTACGTACATTCATTTTGCCCCCCAAAAAGTCGATGCCCCCGTCACACACGTCGTTTCAACCAGACAGCCATTTGTAATCCATAGGGTGGGGGGCGCAGAAGAAAAAGTTTGGAAACCATTGGCCTGCAGGATGCGGGCGCTGTAGCTCTCGCCTATGATCCTGATGCAGCTTTCAGAGTTCAGTTCGCCCGACAGGCAGTGAAAGTCCTGAGGCTTGTGTCCTGCTCCTATTCTGTTACGTTGGTGTGGTTCTCTAATGGAGGGAGATACTCCTTTGGATCCCCACCAAACGGTTTGGAGGGAGGCTGGTTGAAGTGGCCCATTAGGAAGATGCCGGTCGTGCCGATGAAAAACACCAACGCCATGACGATAAAGCAGACCCTGTCGATCACCCGAGCAACCAGGAACCATTCTTCATTTTCCTAGGACGAAGTCGAGTGTTAAATGTTTATGACTTCTCCCCACAATCAGCAAAAACATGCTTAACACTTTGCAGGAGCTTACACTCTGGAAGCTGTTTTGCTGCCTTGCGGTCTCTGCTATGTGTTTGCAGGATTCCACACACTGCCTGAGCTCCGGAGAGGCCTGAGCCAGACTGACGCTGAGCTGCTCCGCTGTGCCTCCTTTCAGCCCACCGTCTGCGTAAAAGACGGATCATGTAGTTACGTTACAGTGGCACTGCATCTTATTACCATCCACGATAAGTATGTTCTGATCAGAACTTTGCTTTCACTGTGTGAGGTAAAGGACATTCAGAAAACTCGAAGATGGCGATGCTTACGAAGCTTTTCTAACACCGACTTCATTAATCCGTTCCTCTCTTTGAGTTTTTCAAACATCAGCTCAGATCGAGCCACTTTCACTAAATATTCCTCTGCTTTAGCGATGAGGGTAACGGAGCTGCGGCGCCGGCTGTGGGTTCTGTCTCTGCCGGGAGTTTTTCCGTCAGTGGTTTCGGAGGCTCCTTCACAGCTTGGCGTCCAGGGTTTCATCCTCATCCTGAGCAGCTGAGGCAACACATTCAGGAAGATCTGAAGTCGAGAAGGAATTGGGGTGAATCTCCAAGGAAAAAGTCACTTATCAGGGTTAAACAGCATCTGATCTGGAAAAAAAAAACGTTCTACCTTGCGAACTTTGTTTGTCATTTTGTGAGTGTTTGGGGTTCTTAAGGACACGTTGAGGACAATCACGCAGTTTATTATTACAACGGTGGTCACTGACATCACAAACATCAGATATCTGCAGTGGAAGATTTTGGAAAAGAGATGAGTCAGAGTTTTAAGTCAGCAAAAAGGCAGCCAGAAGGGAACTAAAAGTGAAGGACATGGACTTACTTTCCAATAAGAGGAACTGCTTTTGACGTCTCCGGTACTTTCTTAGCGATCAGAAAGAGAAACACGGTTTGGCCCAGGAGAGAGTAAATAGCCATGTTGCACTTCTGGCCACCAGCTGTGAAAATTTAAATCCTTATTCAATCAGAGCTGAAACCAGAATTTTATTTATTTATTTTTTTTTTCAATGTACAAAAACACACTTAACCTTTTTTGTTCACCGTCTGACATTTAATCAGACTGAACTTTTTTTTTTTTTTTTTTTTTTTTTTCCGGGGGGGGTAAAATTTAAAAATTTTTTTTAATTTTTTAAATAAATT